AGGCGGGGCCAGGCTCTGGGAGCCGTGAAGTCATGTGGGAAAGGGGGGGAGCCTTTCGCCCAGCTGCCTCTGCATGCTTCATCTGTCTAGGAGAGCGCTTTTCTTTTCTCCTCCCCCTCCTTCTGTTAATCCTCACCTGAGGGATTTTTCCCATTGATTTTTAGAGTGGAAGGGAGAGACACATCGATCGGTTGCCTTCCACATGTGCCCCAAACAGTGCCAGAGATTGAGCCCACAACCCAGGTGCATGCCCTTGACTGGAATCGAACCCGGGACCCTTCCATCTGAGGGCCGATGCTCTAACCACTCAGCACACCAGCCACGGCTGAGACAGTGATTTTCAAACTTTTTCATCCCATGACACATAAACTACTAAAATTCTGCAGCTCACCAAAAAACATATTTTTTATAGTAATTACACTTTTTGCTCCAAAGTGACTTAAAAAAAAAAAACAGAACAAAAAAAAAACAGGTGCCTACGCTGGTGCACAAGGACTTCTGGTGTCAGGAACTAAGCAAACAGATGCAGCCTTGTTATGTGATGCAAGTTGAGGGGCTCGGGCAGCAGCATCCTCCTGGCCTTGCCCCTGCGCCCCCAGGCGGAGGAGTGGCTTAATCTGGCTGGAGAGATCGGAAGGAGAAAGCGAGCCGTGACTGAGTGCCGTGACTGAGTGGCTTTCCCTTTCCTCTGGAGCAGGCCGCCTCCGGAACACCTGCTATGGGTGAAACGCCCCCATGAGGCGGCCATCAGAACTGCCCCCATGAGCCGAGTGCACTGAGGCGTAGTGACCTGTCCCAGGTTGCTTCGCACAGAGCAGGACCAGAACTCGGGCCTGACTCTTTGTTTATGCAAGGATCTTAAACACCCTATTACCTCTGCAAATGCATGCCATGACTAAATAGAGTTCTTCCAGATCATTCTACACTGCCCAGGTTATATTTCTGGGTCCTTATCCTCTACGCTGAGTGGTTATACCTATATCTCTGAATGCATAATAATCTGGCCACTCAGTGTGTGTGTGTGTGTGTGTGTGTGTGTGTGTGTGTGTGTGTGTGTGTTAGAGGCCTGGTGCATGAATTCGTGCATGGGTGGGGTTTGGCCAGCCTGGCCAGGGGGAGGTAACATAGGCGGTTGGCTGGCCTGCCTGCTGGTCAAACTCCTGGTTGAGGGGACAATTTACATATTAGCCTTTTTATGATATAGGATATACACTAAGTGGCCAGATTATTATGTGTTCAGAGATCATAATAATCTGGCCATTCAGGGTAAAATAAGGCCTAATATGCAAATTGACTGAACAGAAGAACAACCAGTCGCTATGATGCACACTGACCATCAGGGGGCAGATGCTCAATGCAGGAACTGTCCCCAGCCTGCAGGCCCCCGGTCAGCCAAGGCAAGTGCCAGTGCAGGGCCCTCCACCCCCACCCCATCTCCCCACCTGTTGACCCACAGATGGGCCCTGACCACCGGCCATGTGTAGGGACCTTACCTGTGCACGAATTCATGCACCAGGCCTCTAGTCTGAAAGAATAGTGTATAAGACCCTGCCCTACAGAAGTACTGGCATGAATGCACACGCTATACCAACACTGAAATTTATTGCAATTTTGTTTGCAATGTCAAAAATTGGCAACAATGTAAGTGCCTATCTAGAAGGGAATGATAAATACATTTTGAGACATCTATGCCATAATGCTATACAACGGTTAGAAAGTGTCAGATTTGTATGTCCTGGCATGAAAGATGTCCTGTCTAATTTGCACATAATGAAACAATATATTTAACGAGAAAAGGCAAGCTGCAGAACGCATTGGACAGGACGGGCTGGCAGCTGGGCAAGCCACCGTCCCACCGGGAAAGCAGGTCCAGGGGGAGGGGCGGGGCCCTGCTGGTCAGGGACCCAGCCTCCTGCTGTCCCCAGCTCACGTCCGGCAGAAACAGAGGGCGAGAGCAGAGGAGCAGGTGGGGAGAGTGTAAGGGCTGGACGCCGGAGTGTAAGGGCTGGACGCCTTGCCGCACGGGAGGCCGGGGACGTGCCCAGCAAACGGCTCGGTGGGCATTTAGCCAGCGCCCACACGTCAACTGGTACGCACCGTTAAACCCACTTGTGTCCGATACCCGTCAATGAGTGCGTGGATGTATTTTAACAGGAAAAGTCTGGAGGGGCAGACACTCAGCGGACCCCCTCAGGAGTGGAGAGGAGGCGGCACGTTCTGCGTGGCTATTTTAACGCTGGCACATGGTTTCTGTGACTAACTGGGCAAGGTTTGTAAGGTGATAGCATGCTGCTTTTACTAGAGAATTTAAAGCCAGGAGCTCAGAATCCTGAGTGCCCACTAGGGGGCAGAGGAGGCGCGTGGGCGAGCGTGCCTGCCCTTGCCTAACCGCCCTGTGCATTTCTTGCACAACTTCCTCCCCCCTTGGGCCATCTGCAGTGTTTACCGAACTGTCTGAGGAAGTGACAGCACCCAGACCCCTGACACGGGCAGTCCAGCTGCCCCACAGGAACCAGATCCCCAAAGCGGGGGCACCTGGTGAGCCCCGAAAAGGTGCCCGCCTCTGAGTGCCTGTATACATGAAGCCCGGACACACAGGCAGAACATCATTGGCTCGAGGGCAGGCATATGTCTCCAATGAGGCGAACGAGAGCCTGCAGGTCCCAACTCTGCCACCGTGGGGAGTGAGAGCCCCCAAGAACAGGGCCGACCTAAAGCACTGCGGCCGATTCAGAGCCGAGAGGGGGGCCCACGGGTCCTGGCTGTCTGCTAGAGGGATGGCCAACACACCCCGCTTTGCCCTCATCCAGCTGAGCGGTTTCTGACCAGCACAGGGAGCTGGCCCCACTGGGGAGAGAGTCCCCGTGGAGGCGACGCTCACATCGAGAAGCCCAAAATGACTGGGAAGCAGCCCGGTGGAGGGGAAGGGAGAGAATGTTCCAGACAGAAACACTGTTGACGAATAAGCTTCATTCAACAAGTGTCCTGGACCCTTATGCACAGCAATGGCCTGTGGTAAAGTACTTTATTGTCTGAAAAAATCCCTGTTGCTTGCCTTGTCGTGGTTTATTACATATAGTTGCTTACATCTAACAAACCCCAGGCGGGGCCTATCCATCAGTTTGATGATCTACTTTGCACCTAGGATTCTGGACCTAAACTACTGGTTCTTCTTCGCTCGGAGACTGGAGGAATTGGGGGCAGCCGTGGGAGCGCTGGGAGGTGGGCCTGGGGCCAGCTTTGCCAGGCAAGGAAGAGGCCAAGGAAGCTGGGCAGTGCCACTCTGGCTCAGCGCCGCCATTCATCAGCTCGAGGAGAAAATGGATTTGTCAATCTTTGGCTTTGCCTTGGACCCAGAGAGGGCTGAGCCTACGGCGCCTGGAGGGGCCCCGTCTCTGCCAGCTCAGCGAGAACCCGCAGTGTGGGGAGATGCAAATGGGAATTTCTTGCAACATCAACCACCTTTCCTTCTCCCTGCACCTCTCAGAGACCCCGTCCCAGCACCGGATCCCTTAATTTACATGTTTGGAGGGAAACAGGGGGGGGAAACTAGCTGAGCTGGCTTTGTGTCACTTCTTTATATTCTCTCTTGGGGTCAAGAACAGCGAGCAGGGGGAGCAGGGGATTTTCCCGCACGTGAAGACCCTTTGGGTTACTGAAATTTGCTTTTGTCAATACTTGTGTTATGTGATTGATTTTGATGCCCCAGAACTGTGGTCAGCAAACTGCGGTTCTCAAGCGACATGCGGCTCTTTGGCCCCTTGAGTGTGGCTCTTCCACAAAATACCACGGCCTGGGCGAGTCTCTTTTGAAGGAGTGGCGTTAGAAGAAGTTTAAGTTTAAAAAAATGTGGCTCTCCAAAGAAATGTCAATCGGTGTGCTGTTGATATTAGGTTCTGTTGATTAGTGAGTTTGCCGACCACTGGCCCAGAATATGAAGTTTTTTGGAGGAAGAATCAACTGTGTATGGGACCCACAGCAGCTAACACGGCACCTCACTCCAGTGGAATCTCTGATTCCTAATTCAGGGACTCGTGCTGAACGCATAGGGTGCCTTGGTCCCCATTGGGGGGTCATTGTGTCCCCAAGGGCTGGTCTAGGCCTCAGCATGGAGACTCTGGGGACCCTGAGTGCTGGGTGGAGTCAGGCTCAGCTCCGGCCAGGTGGCTTCTGCTCTCGGGGTTTACTGAGTCTCAGAAGGAGGAGGGGAAGGTAAGATCCGATCAAACCCTTGGTGAGGTCAGTCCCAGGTCTGGAGCTTCCGGGCTGGCTGGGAGCACTGAGTCTTGGTGGGGTCAGGCCTAGGCCTGGCCAGGTGACTGGCTAGCGGGGGCTGCAGAGACCCAGGTCTTGGGAGGAGGGACCAGCCCTGTGCCTTGGACTGCAGGCCTGCTTAACCAGGCGGGACACTCTGGCCTGCAGAGGAAGCAGAGTCCCGGATGATGGTGGGAGGGTGTGCGGAGTCCATCCCGGCCCTGGCATAGGGGCTCTGGCCTGCGCAGAATGCGGAGTCCCCCCGGTCCTGGCCTGAAGGCTCCATGCGGTCAGGGGGCTGGTGAGCCCCAGCACCAGCGTGGAGACTCCAGGCCGGCAGGGGGCGCTGCGTTCATGGCGGGAGACGCAGAGCGGCTCCAGGCCGGAGGGGGGCGCTGGCGCGCGGCGGCGCGGCGGCCGCCCGGCAGGTGGCGCTCTGGCCGCGGCCGAGGCCCGGCGGGCGGCGGCGGCGGCGGCGGCGCGGGCTGCGCCGGCTCGCGGGCCTGGGGAAGCGGCGGCGGCGGCGGGACCGGAGAGGGCGGAGCGGCGCGGCGGCGGCAGGGCGGCCCGGGCGGGCGGGCAGGAGCGCGCCAGCCGAGCGCACAGGCCGCGGCCGCGGAGCCGCCATGCCGGCGCGGGTCTGAGGCGGCGCGTGAGGGCCGAGCAGCGGCGGCCGCGCCGGCCGGGCTTCCCGCAGCGGCGGCCGGGCCCGGAGCGGCGGCCTCGGCCTCCGGCGCGGCCCGGAAATGTCCGGCCGGATCGAGAAAGCAGGTGAGGCGGGGCCGGGCGGCGGCGGGCGGCGGGAGGGCGCGGGGCCTGCTCGGCGCCTCGGAGGCCGCGCAGGCGGCGCCCCGCGCTCTCCGGGCGCACGGCCGGCCGCGGGCTCAGGGGCCGGGGCGGCTCGGGGAGGCGGCCCCGGGGCTGGGCTTCAGGCCCGGCCGGCCGCTCGGCCTCCGCGGGGTTCGCAGACAACGGCTCGGACCCGGGGCCGGGAAGGGACGCCCGGCCGCGTGTCCCGGCGGCTGCAGCGCCCGAGCCCCGCCAGGCGGCCGCCTCCCGGGGCAGGCGGGGCTGAGCCGCACGATGTGTCATTTCTGGTTTAAATTTAACCCGGAGCGTCTACCTCGGCGGCTTCAAAGGACGCAGCCGGCGGCGCCTGGCCCTCCGGGGCTCGGCCCGGGCTTCCCGGGGCCCCGGCGCCGCGGGGGAAGCGGGCGGCGGGCGCCGGCGGGGCGCGGGGCGCGGTGTCTCTGCAGCCTCCTCTTTGTGCTCCGGGATCGCGGGGAGCGGCCTCCGCGCCCCCACCCCCGGGGGTTGCCTGCACCGTCTCCCCACGGGTGCAGCGCGGCTGGGGCTCCCGAGCCGGCGACACCTTGCAGGGCGAGCCCCGGGCCCGGGGCGGGGCAGGCGGGCGGCCCCGGGCTCCGGTGCGCAGGGCTGCGTGTCCTGACCGCCCGGGTGCTGACCCCGGGTGCCCCCGAGCGCGGCCGCCCAGCCCGGAAGGCAGGCCTCCGGAGGCTGCTCAGGTCTGGGGAGTTGCTGGTCTGTCTCCCCGGGTCACCCCGGGATACGGTCCTGCCAGGCGCCGGGAGCGGCCCCAGAAGGCAGTGCAGCCTGCAGGCTGTGGTTTCTGCACAGGAAGGGCGCTTTTTGTAGCCTTCATGGAGGGTTTTCTATGTATCCGGCGCGCGCTCAGCATTGTAAATGTATCGCTTCCTACACCCTGCAGATTCTGAGAGCGAGAGCATGGTCCCAGTGTTTCAGGCTCGGGGCCACCCGGCAGGAGAGCAGCACAGGGCGTGGAGGCCTGGGCTCTGCCCAGCGGCCCCAGGCGGGCCTTCCCCAGGCGCAGGCAGGGCCCCGGGTTCCAGCGCTGCTTCCTGGGCGCCCTCGCGGTTCTTCAGCCCCTGACCAGTGGCCACAAGTGGCCGCCCTGCACCTGTGCCGCTCCTGAAATATCGTGGGCTAATCTGTGAAGCATTTCTCAGGAGCCCTCTGCGCGGTGGGAAACTTGGGTGATTTACTTTAAAAATAACACGAGCTGGGTGTGCTTTGGCTCAGGGTGTGTCCATTGCCAGAAACCTGGAAATCTTGGGAAAGTAACAGTGAAATGAGAAGCACCTGTGGTCCCAGAGCTGCCACCCCCCCCACGGCTCAGACCCCCACTCCACCCCACCCCACCCCCACGGGAAACATTGCCCTTCGCCTTCATCACCTGGTGCCCGAGGCCAGAGGCCAGGACTGGCAGCGTGGTTTCTCCGGGGCCCTCTCGGGCGCCTCCCTCCACCAGGCGCTGCAGCGAGATGCCCAGAGCGGGAAGTGCCTCTGGTCGGAGGCGGGAGAGCCGCTCAGCATCCCCGGCCTGTGGCCGCATGCACGGGGCTGCTCCCAGTCAGGGCCCAGGGCAAGGGGAAGGCTCTGCAGGGACAGCAGTTGTGTTTGGCTCTGAAGAGCGGGTGCAGGTACCGGGGGGAGGGGGAGACGGCTGTGGAGGGCTCAGGAGGAGGTGTCTGGGGAGAGGCAGCTCAGCGGCATTCTGAGGGTGAGAGGCCGGGTTGGCCTGCGGAGAGCTGGCCGGGGTGCCGGTCTGTGCCGGGGTGCCGGTCTGTGCCGGGGTGTCTGTGCTGGGCTCACACAGCGTCGGGAAGTTGGGAGCAGTTCTGCAGCCAAGGGTGCGCCTTCCTCGGTCTGCTGGTCCTTGGATGTGGGGTCCCCTTGCATTTGGACGAGATTCCCAGCTGAGCTGCTGTTGGAGTTACTAAACGGACCTGCTGGTGAGTTGCCAGCAGAGCGTTCGGTGCCAGGGACAGGCCCTTGGGTGCAGCAGGGCTCCCGTTAGCAGGTGAGCCGCCGGTTAGTGACGGGGCCTCACTGACGCCCACGGTCACCGGCACTCGTGGCCGTTGATTGAAGCAGCAGAGGTGTCGCTCACACGTGCTCCGGAGCCTCCTTCCTGATGCAGGCTGGCTCCTCGCAGGTGTTAAGGACCCAGGGCTTTGGTGTAAGAGGAAACTCCTCTGTCCACCCCCTTGGTCCCTCAAGCTTTGCTCACTGCTCCACTGCGCCTGCCCTCTGCGCTCACTGGCATGCTGGCAGAAATGGAAGTCCCAACGACTTGAAAATAAATGCCTAAGTTACCTTCATTCAAATGATACCGTAGGCAAAAACCATCTTGGGGAGCAGCGGCCTCCTCAGCCCCCGGGAGGTCTTGGGGCCGCCCTGCTGCCCCCCGGTACTCTGTTACTCAGCGGTGCCTGCGTGGGTGGCACCCTCCTGTGAGGCCTGCCATCGCCTAGGGACACGGGAAGCTGTTCCCGTCCTCTGCCCGGGCCTCACAGGATGAGGACACCTGGGTTCCAGAGGGTTCCAGAGGGCTGCAGGCTGGGCCTGTCCATTTCGGCTTGGTGGGGGAGGGCTGACTGGAGGGTCAGGAGGAAGGGAGGGCGGGTGGAGACGGCTTTTCTAAACTCCGGTGTCTTCACAGATAATGAGGGGGTAAAAGGGAGAGGGGAGCCAGAGGGTTAGGGGAGCTGGGTTAGGGAGCTCGGGGTGCGCTGTGGGCAGAACTGGCCAGGAGAGCGGGCGGGGCCTTAGGAACCGGAGGGCCGGGTTCTGACAGGGTCCGTGGGTGGGCACATGGTGGTGGGCCTCGGCTGCTCTGCTTCCAGCAAACGGGGAGGAGGGAGAGCTGGTGCCCTCATGGTTCCGAAGTGTCAGCAGCTGTTGCCTGTGAGTGGAGGGGACAGGCCGGAGGCTGTGGGCTGGATTCCGTCCACAGGTGTGTTGTGTTTGATCTGCAGTGTTCGCGAAGAAAAAAGAAAGAATTGATGGCCAGTATTTAAAATCAGGAAGTCGGTCAGAAAGCTCAGGTTTCTGGTTCTCTTGAAAACAGAGACTCTGGTAGCTCTGAGCCCTGTTCCTCTGCGGCAGCTACAGATGGCCCTGTCCTGCCACCGACCTTCACCCCCCACCAGCCATCACCCCCTGCCAGCCATCACCCCCCGCCAGCCATCACCCCCCCAGCCATCACCCCCCGCCAGCCACCACCCCCCCAGCAATCACCCCCCCAGCCATCATTCCCTGCCGGCCATCACCCCCCGCCAGCCTTCACCCCCCCAGCAATCACCCCCCCAGCCATCATTCCCTGCCGGCCATCACCCCCCGCCAGCCTTCACCCCCCACCAGCCTTCGCCTCCGTTTCCGCTTGGACCATTGATATCTGAGTGTGCACCCCTTTCCTTGGGGAAGCCATTCGCGTTCGTTGGCTTTCCATCTGCACTGAAAGCTTTGGCCCATTTCTTCATTGATTTATTCCTCGATTTCCTGGTTGAGCTTCTGTCAGGTGCCGTACGAGGCTCCGGGGACCTCAGCAGACAATGCGGAGTTCCTGGGAGGTCATGGGGTCACATCAGCCTTCCGGTGGCGGGTGTCAGGGACAGCCCTCTGAGGAGCGAAGGTGAGCCGTGAGGATGAGGCGCGTTAGCGGCACAGCGTGGGGAGGAGAAGAGGGGCTTCACTTTCACTCCTGCTCTCAGCTCTCAGCCTCCCTTCCTGCCCCTGGTCACCCAGCACCTCCCCAGGCTGGAGCTGTCCTCCGTCCCTGCGCCTGGGCCCGGCCTTCTGCAGGAGCAGACAAAACAGCCGGCACGGAGACGAGGATGGCACAGGTGGGAGTGTCGTGGCCCGGCCCTGGGTTCCAGCCGGCCACAGTGTGGAGGAGTTTACTTTAGGGCCTCTGGCAGCGGGGCAGGCTCGGGGCCGGGGCAGGTGAAGCGGAGGGCTCACCGGGCACCCAGGCCTGTGGACAGGATTAATATGGTGTCAGACTCAAGTGCCCTGTGTTTCAAATGGCTGAGGACGTTTTATTATAATTTAGAAAAATTTACACCAACTGCATTCATAGTGACTCTAGTTATTATGAGTTTTCTCAGAATAAACAGGAAGTACATGTACTGTCACGTGGGCTGGCTTTGTTTTGGCCCAGCAAAGAGTCCTTGTAGATCAGCAGTCACTGTATTTTGATCAATTTTTTTAAATTTAATTTTAAAAAAAATCTTTATTATTGTTGAAAGTAATACATATGTTCTCTTTTTCCCCCATTGGCCTCTCCCACCCTGCCCCACCTCCTACCCCGGCCTTCACCACCTGCTGTCTGTGTGCATGGGTTATGCATATATGCATATGAGGTCATTGGTTGATTCTTCCCATCCCCCCGCCCATCAATTTCTAACTCCTCAAATCTTGCACTTCCTTTTTCTCCACCATCAGAAATCCAGTCCCCAGGGGGACATTTTGGGGCCCCTGGTGTCACTGGTCCACTCACCGTTGCAGCAATCACTGAGTCCCTCCTTGCTGGCAAACTGACGCCTCACAGTGGCACACAGCCCGGGAGCCCGGCCGCCCCTGGTCACAGTCCAGGGTGACATCAAAACAGTCGTGGACATTTCCAGCGTCCTATGGCTTTCAGAGTGCACTGATGGCGACCTCATTCCTGATCTCCCAGCATCCTGAGGGCATATCGGGCTGGTTATCCCCATTTTACCAGGGAAGTTTGGTGACTTGCCCGGAGCCCTAGCCCGTGTCCGCCTTTACAGAGCACTGCTTAGAGCCTTCCATGCTGCTGAGGACACAGCTTTCTACCTTAATGCTCGTTCCTGTGTCTTTCTTTCTGACCCCCCACCCCAAATACTCTTAAATTAAGGATGGCCCAGAGTGGTGTTTAGCCCGTATGTGATATTACTAACATTAGCAGTACTATACAGAGGTAAGGA